GAGAGAGAGAGAGAGAGAAAGAGAGAGAGAGAGAGAGAGAGAGAGAGAGGTGTAATTACTATGCCCAAACACAGCTCAATGAACAAAAAATACATATAAGTCGAACACAGGGTATTAAAATCCATAAAAATGACAAAATCTAGCTGAAGTCCAAAACTGCGCATTTCGCCATTGAGGTAGCCATTAGAGCAATCATAGAACAAACAACAGGGAAGAATATTTCACCCAAGTAAGACGGCCAATTTGTTCAACAAAAATTTCATGTGTTTTGTTGTCTCGTACATAACTAACAAAAACTGAGAATTACACAAACTTTAGCACTCGAGTCAAATTACCTAACCAACAAATTGAGAAACCAAAGTCCAAAACAAACTACACACAAACACAATCTAACCATAGAACTTTTCATCTATCAACCACACAAGCACAACCAAAATGAGGTAAAACAAAATCGAATCAAAGTATAAGCATACGATTACTTACTTCAACAGAACCCTTTTTGGCAACATTTGTCCAGTCCTTGGAAGCAACACCCGATTTCCAATCGAAGTCAATAGTCAAGGTAGTCGCCGGTTTGTGATCAGACGCATAAAAGCAAGCCATGTAGTCACCAGCCTCGACTGTTTGGAACGCGAAATGTCCCTCACTCACATGATCCGAATTATGATAGCTATTTCCATGTGAAGATGTCACCTGCGTATTTAACACGGGCTTACGAGAAATCAATGACCGTAATCAACCACCAATTTCTCTTTTATTTTTACCAAAAAATAAAGTCACTGAACAAATAAAGGATGCCTTTCTTTTTTTTTCCAGAAATTCTCAGTTCTTAATCTGATTTGTAATGTAAACCTTTCAAATAAACTTAGTCGAACACAATACACAGTATATCAATATCAATTTCATTTCAATGTTAAAGAAATTAATTCCAAGAACCACCAAAATTCAACCAAAACAGGAAATCATGCCAAATTCACAAAGATAACGCTCAACACATTCAATTTGCTTACAACCCTCAATCACGAACATCACCAAATCGCTGAAAATTGTTGAAAAAAGAAACAAAATTTAGAGTATAATTGAATTAAAAAAAAAAAAAATTACCCGGACAGTGATTTTATGAGAGTCGGGCAGAGGGTAGCCGTCATTAGGGTTTACGATATGGTACTTCCCTACAGTCATAGAATCGCTCTTGATGTCCTCCGATATGCATTTGGTGTGGCCCGACTCCAAATCGAACCGGATCGACTCGACCCGAGACCATAACAAGAAGAACACAGAAATCAATACAGGGATTAGACTATGCTTCTGGCACAGAGTAATCATCATATCAAATATGAGCACAAATCAAAAGCGATGATCTTTGAAACAAGGATTTCGTATGCCTAGGATTTCTGGTGGGTTATACTTAAAGATTTTGTCGGGCAAAAAATGGGTAATATCCTGATTCTTTCAATTTTAACATAGATGCAACCCAGAAAACGCAAGGTTGCGTTTGCTTGTAATGCTTTTTTTATTTTTTTTTTATTTTTTCCTAATTTAGTTTTCTCTCTCTTTTTTTAATTTAAATGTTTTTTTTATTGGATTTGTCAAATCCGATCTTAAATTCATAATTGTGTCGAAAATTAGTGTAGTGCCCAATCAGTTTACTCCACGTATGAATTTAGCTTGTCCGCTGAGGTGGTGATCTATTTGGCATCTTTCAATATAGGGTAGATAATTTTTGGGCATTACTATTTATCTGATTCCTATTATTAGTTATCGCCTCCCTTTGACGATTGCTCTTCATTTTGTCTAAAGTTTCAGAAGAGCGAAATGTATTCTGGTTCTGAGGTAATTTTTTTCTGCCATCTAACCGTCGAAACCGGACGCGGCCGGTCGTGTCCAACCGTCAGAACCGGACGGCCGTAATGGCGTCCGGCCGGTCCGGCCGCCCACGACCCACGTTGTCCGGTTTTTTGGGTCTTACGTACCGGTCCGCGTACTAACCGGCCGGCGTACGACCCATGAGATGTCCGGTCGCGACCGGTCCAGTCCGACCGGCCAGACAACGAAAATTTTTTTTAGTTTATAATATTTTATTTTAAATTTTTATGTTATAGATTGGAAATATTTATGTTATAAATTGTATGTTGTATATTATCGTGTTAGGAGTTAGACATTAATTAGACTTGATTATCTATAAATTGGACAATAAATATTATCGTGTTAGGAATTAGAAATTATTATGTTATAGACTCGAAATAATTATGTTATAAATTTGACGTGAGATAATATCGCGTTATGAATTAAAAATTATTATGTTGTACAATCGTACAATCGAAATAATTATGTTATAAATTGGACGTTAGATATTATTGTGTTAGGAGTTAGAAATTATTATGTTATTAGTTGAACGTTAGATAATTGTCGTGTTAGGAGTTATAAATTATTATGTTATAGATTATAATTTAACATGTTTTGAAATTATAAATATTGTAATATATTGAAGGTGTCATTGAAAGATTTTGGAGGAAATGGTATTGATTACAGTTCCGCTTTCGATACCAAAAAAATTGTTTTACAATGATGAGGATGCTATTAGTTTTCTCTCTTTTATTTATTTAATTGTTTTTTTTATTGGATTTGTCAAATCCGATAGTAAATTCATAATTGTGTCGAAAAATAGTGTAGTGTCCAATTAGTTCACTCCACGTATGACTTTGTCTCGTCGTTGAGGTGGTGATCTATTTGGCATCTATTTATATAATTTCATAACGCTCGTCTAGGTTAAATTAGTATCCAACTTATGCACTTGTACAGAAAGCGAATCATGGAAGAGAGTAATAAAAAAATAGAAACGAAATTAAAAATTAAAATGTATTCAATGACTAAAAATATGATTTAAGAAAGTATATCTAAATATTATTAAACAATTTTTTATATGCAACATTCGTGCTTTTCCTGTCGTCAGAATCACCCTCACCACCAATCATTATTTTTAAACTCCATGTATTGGTAAATCGACGTGCGAGAGAAACTGACCTTGACTTTTATTGATTGTTATAGCATAGGAAACCATGAGTGAAAATTGTCTGCATTGAATACCAATCAAATGGTGTGATTGTGAGCTTAGAAATAAGAACCTTAGCACTAGCTCTAGCACCAATTAAAATTTTGCATTCCAGGACATGGTGGCTTAGGTTAATAATAACCAAACGTGGGTCGCTACACAGTACCATGGAGTGATCTATGTTTTTCTCAGCAACATCACTGGAGTGTTGACCTTCAAGTGCAGTTTATTAATAATACAATTAATAAACGAGTTCGGCCAATTCTGGTCATTTGCCGGTGAACCGCAGAAGAGGGTCCGGATCAATCCGGGTATCAACAACTTCCTCATCACTCATCACCAATTCTGAACACAATAATATAAAATATCTATAAATATAAAAGCATAAAAGAAAAATGATAAACCAAAAGTTGCAACCATAATTGATTTGGTTACCTGGGCGCTCTAAATCTCTCCGATGATTATATAATATGTCATCTAGTAGATAAGACCAGTACGCATCTCACACAAACTCCAATCAGCCAAGGCCTCATTTACTTTATGTGATGGGATGTGATAATTTAATCAAGTTAACTTTACACGTCAGCAATTTATCTCATGTTTACTTTGTGTGATGGAATTTTGTGAAACTGATCAAGCGTTTACATAATGGGACTAAATGAGATGTTAAAACTTAAAATGACAATTGTACCCTTTGTACACAATAATTAAACACCATAAGTAATTTATATTGTCTATCATAAAAAAATTAAGGTTTAAAAATTTAAAATTATATAAATATTTATTTTTGTAAAAAAGTAAAAAAAAAAAAATGTCTATCATATAAAATTAAGGTTTAAAATTAAAATTTATATAAATGTTCTTTTTTGAAAAAAATAAATTAAACAAACCTAACGGTTAGACAACTTCATATAAAAGTTTATGCATATAAAATGATAAAAGTTCATTATTTTTTAACTCAACTTTCCTCTTGTGTGAACAAAATATTTAAAATAATTCAGTAGTTTGAACATCCATTCGGGTTGTTTATTTATACATTAATAATGAATGTTCATATCATTAGTTTGCATAAGTTATTCAAGAATCATCCATGCTTAACCCAATGAAGCCAGAAATACAACTTGATAGAAGTCAATGACATATAACTTCAAACAAAAACACCAAATTATAACTATCAAAATCAAATGCTAGAATGAACCTAAGAAATGTGTAAAAGCCAATATTTGTCAATATAAAATGAGGTGCAAATATGCAGCCACACTGGAGATCAATTGGAAAAACACGACTGTTAGTATCTTGTTATGTTGTGGGCGTGTTTTATGGAAGAGTCGAAAGTGCATGTGAAACATCATGAGATATTATGTCGTGTATGGGTTTCTTAAAAAAAAAAGGTTAATACAACATTCAGACAGCCGATGATCGACCATGTCGCAATCTACAACATTCATATCTGGTTCTTGCCTTTTCCAAAGGAATCTCAAACGTTGATTTTGTTATCGTCTCGTATAAGAGGATATATCTGCACGTAAAAAGAATATAAAAAACGAAATATAACATGTAAGAAAACGCATAATGCAACAACACAAAGCCATATCAGCATATAATAAGAGGTTAAAATTAAGCATACCTCCAAGCCAGTTCATAAACAAGTTCTTCCGGTGCATCAGACAATAACTATTATTAGCCTCAAGAGTTACGCATGCTCAACATACTTCAAAGAAAACACAATCGAAAATTATCTTCTTTATGACAGTTACCTCATCCACATACGGATTGCAATTTTCTTTGAACCACAATCTCAAAAGTTCATAAGTGTAGACATGAGAAAATGCATCAGAATACAAACCGACAACATTAAAAGGGGAAAATTTTTTGATGGTAAGATAAAATAATGTATGTAGAGATTTGTGAAAGAAGATCGTATAAATTCATTCTCAACGTAAACCAAATTTCAAAACCTTGGGGTACAGTACTAGATAGCACAAAGTCAAGAAAGAACCTTGTCAATATTTTGAGGTTCAAGACCATTTTGAAAGCGTTCCTCATAAGAATGAACGATCTAATACCTGCTGGAGTCTGGTGTATGCACTTAAAATTTTGACAAACAGAAGGTAAAAAAAAAAAAAATAGAAACAATTTTCATCATAAAACCATGCAATATGTTAGGTGTCCCTTTATTCAGTTCGTCTCATAAGAAATAACCTCATCTACCTCTTCTGGCATTATGGGAACATCATGATCTTCAGTGTTAGTAGTTGGTGTGAGTATATTTGCTTGCAATTTTTGGTTTTTCACCATACCTAAACACAGACACATGTGGATTCGTAAGCAAAATAGAACAACTGTGTGATTGGACTTCATACAAAGTTACGGACCTCACCATCAGGAAGAGCATTCCCACAATAGTTTCTAACACCTTTTGGTAGACAATCCAAAGTAATGTATCGGTACTTCCAGTCACATAACCCCTAACTTCAGATAAGCGTCATCATCATGTTTAGTTGAAGGACCAATCAAACAGAGTACATCAATAACCCCTAAAATCATTTGCAATGCGCACTTTTAAGGAGAATGACTTATGTTCATTAGACCAAAAGACGAATTACTATATGAAACTTAAAGAAATTGTTAGCTTTGCTAATGACTCACCAACAAATTCAACAGGAAATACATAACATTTCTTTGCAATAGTAACATTCTTATCTGGAGAGGGCACAACTGCATTTGGAATAGTATAATGAGTTTTACTAAACCACCACAAACTTGTCTCATTGAGAACATGAATAGTAACAATGAGTCATAACAATGAGAAACAAAACTAACCTTACTACTGACTCGAAGCTAAATGCATAGGCAAGATTTTTGCAATATGTAACATGCCCTTATATGGATAATTGAAGCAAGAACTCTGTCAAAAGCACTTTGCTAGTTTTTTCCATCATAAATATCTCTCACCTTCAAAATCAAATTGAGTATCATATTTTCATACACACTGTTCAATTCATTATGTAACTTATTGGCATTGACTGAATATTCATTTAGAATGAGCAAACACAAAGAAACAGAACCGAGTGCGCAAGAATGGGAAATCCTAGCATCTAAGAAACATCCTACAAATGTTATGATATGGGATATTATATACTGGACCGATGGTCGAGCGGGACCGGACACCGACCAAGTAGAGCACCGAGTAGATAGCGACAGTTAAGGGAATCCAAAGTGGTCGACAGATACCAGTCATCCGAGGATATGGTCGAGGAAAGATGATCGAGGAAGCCTGGACGCGCAAAACTGGTAGAATACCGGACCTCACCCGGGAGTCCTCATCACGTAGAGGAAAGGACACGTGGCGGACTACGGTTGGTCAACAGCCGTAACAAACTCTGATATTCCCTGACAAAGGTGACGCGTTTCTGACACCGAAGATAGTGGAGGCGCGCGGTTGTACGGACGAGCAGAGGACAGTTGGCCGAACTCGCCTTGCTCGCGCGTGCAGCTCAGGTAACTCGCCCTTATAAATAAGGGCGAGAATCCTCATTTTCCACACAATCTCATATACTCATACATCTTCATATACATTAATCTCTCAAGATCTGACTTGAGCGTTGGAGGCTCTTCACCGGAAAACACCTCCGGTGTGGGAGTTTCGTGCAGGTTCCGCGTTCAACTGGCGAGGAAGGCAAGCTTAGAGCAATTTCCAGCCGGTCCGGGTGCGAGACTTGTATTATGTTAGAACTTTACAGTCATTGAAGTCTAATAAAGAAAAAACACAATCTTTACCCAAAGATAAACTTTTGACTAGAACAAAGGGGAAAAAAGGAAAAGACAAGACGAATTATAAACATACTAAACTGTCTGCTATCTAGAGCCAAAACCTCTGACCTTCCTTCCTTGAAAGTTGAATCTTTATCCCATAAATTCCAAACAAAACAAAAGGAAACAAATACACTAAACTGTCTGTCATCCACTGTCAAAGCCTTTATACTTCCTTACAGATTACACTTTCTTAAAAAATTATTCAAAAGAATAATATAAATGAAAACCCAAACAAAAAACACATAGTTTTCATAATATGTATGAGCTCGAAATAACAAAAACACTTTAGGGTAATTGAATGAAATGTTGAAGTTTACCTTCACCCTCACTGAAAACCGAAACAATCAACGCGTGCTTCACTACAGACTAGGGTTTCTGCCAAAGAGAAAAAAATACCAATCCACGCTTCTCCTCTAATCGACAACAATAGCTATGGTTTCTTATTTCAGGAATGGTAATCACAAATTACTTCTTCGAGCTTACCTTTCGGCCCGACGAAATTCCACCACCTCGTGTCTGTGCTTCTTCCCGAAAAGCTTCTGCGCAAAAACAAGAACAAGGGAAAATGGCCCGCTTTTCAAATTTTATATGGTACAGATTTGTAAATACATTAACAAAAGGGGGTATTTTTGTTTTTTCAACTCCGAAATTGAGGTTAAATGGTCAGTGCAGGGATGGGATTAAGTTCTCCGATGGGATTTAATCAGCCAACAGCTGATATATGTGTGGGCCCACAGCCACATGTGCGCCAGATCACAGCAATCTCATCTCAATCCCTTAAAGTAAACATAGGTTAATGCAGGACAATTTTAATTATCATGTCCTATCAAACAAAGTAAACGACGCCCAAGAGTATCGGAGGAAAGAAGCAAAAAGGTTTATGTAGCGCCCCTTTCGGAATGAAACAAAGTTTTCAATAAAACTCTTTCATTTTCACGGTCTTTTTCGATTATACACAATATATATATATATATATATATATATATATATATATATATATTATTTTAATCATCAATTCCCTGTAACGTTCATCCCTATATACAATCACCTTCATTTTTTTTATTTTTTTTTATTTTGAATTTTTTTAACATGATTTTCAGTTAGAACGAGCGTTGAGACCCTTGATTTTTACCCCCAATATTTTTCAGTTATACATAATTTCAACACATAAAAAATAATAATTTTCAGTCAATTTATTGGTCACGACCTCTCAAAATTGTATTATTAATTCATGTCAATATAGTTATTATATGTAAATTATGCAATTTATATTTATTGTTCATTTTTACTAATTGTTAAAATTTTTAAATATGATAAATCTAACTTATAACTTTAAATCTTGTATACATAAATATATTGTATAATATTTTATTTTCATATTTACATGTGCACCATATCGACTACCAATTTCTTTAACAAATTAAAACATTGTACTATTTTAAAAATGAAATGTATATAAAATAATCGTAAAGAAAGTTGACTAGATTAGTACCTTCTATCGTTTGGTAAACACACCACTAATTGCCACTCATCTGTCATTACATACGAAAAGTTAGGAAAAATCACTCTTTAAAGTTCAAACCAATTTAAAATACAAATCAGGATAATGCTCCCCTACCCACGATAGACACATATTAATATACCTACCGATTATGTGATATGCACACATTGGTGATGTTATCTACACTCGCTACAAGTTCTCTCTCATCATTTAGGCCAGCAAACGACCCTCTCTCTCAAACCCACAACTGGAATTTAAGAAAATTCTTCCAATCACAAAATGTTTCTTTTTATTTCTGTTTCTATTTTCTTGTTGCCATCTCTCTCTCTCTCTCTCTCTCTCTCTCTCTCTCTCTCTTCTTGCTGAAAACAAGAGGGAATTATTCGTTGGCCACTTTTGGGTTGGGTTTGGCCACATTCCTCAAGAGTAAATTATTAGTATAATCATTCAGTGCAAATTGCTCATTTAATTTCGATGCATTTTCCCTCGTGAGATTCACCGATCTCTCTCTCTCTCTCTCTCTCTCTCTCTCTCCCCAGATTCCACATTTTGATTTCAATTCTCTTTGGATCCCATTTCTAGACTCTCCTTTCTGATTCGAAAAATTCAATCTATTTACTTATTCCAGCTTTGATATCAACTGGGTTTTCCTTCAAACCCGTTAACCCACTGCAAAGATCGCATTTTTTAACCCAACCCACGTTCGCAATTGCTCACACACCTGTTAATCCACTGTAAAAATTGCATCTTGAACGCAACCCACATTCGCAATTGCTCACATTCTTGGGAATGTGCCTGTTTCTGTGTGGGAAAAATTGAACATTTTGCAACGAAGTTCGGGTTATGGTTTCCGGTTGATATTGTCGATATGAATTTTCGGTCGTGGTGAAATGAGGCGTCAATGGAGGCGATTAGATCAGAGAAGAGTTCGGAGAAACTGCCGCCATTGCAGGGGCCTGTGGTGCAGAGGACAAGAATGCAAGTGTGGTTTATCAGGGTTTGTTCTAGCATACTAATATGGACTTGTTTGGTTCAACTTGTGGCAGTTGGGGAGCTCTGGCATCCTCGTTTGCTCACTGGTTATTATTCGGGATTTACGAAGATGTCGGCTCATCGAGAGGGATCACTGTTGCCTTCTTATCCACCGGCTAGTCAGTATTTTCTTTTGTGATTGTGTTGTGGATCTGGCGATTTTGCAGTAGTGTTAAATTTTGTGATGTTATTTATTTTTTTCCATTTCAGTAGTATGTTAAAGTTTTGGTTTTGAGTTTTGAGGATTTTTTAGTGATCTATTTATTTGTTTTTCCTTCTATCCTGTTTATTTGATCTGTTTACTGGGTGCATTTGCTGGTTAATATGTGCTGTGTTATAGTTCTCTGTTATGATGTTTGTTCTCATAGGGAGCTTGTTGATTTAAGTGTTTTTGGGTATGATAATTTACGGAATGTTTGGATTAATGGCTGCCAGTGAAAAGACGGGAAGTTGGTTTTGAGAAGCGAATTGTGCTATTCGGAGGAGTTGCTGCAAGTTTGTTTTGTTTTATGATGTTGCTTCGGCAACAAGGTTTGATTATTGTCTCACATGTGATTGGCTCAACATGGTGCTGTATGTAACTTATGTTTAAGATGTACATGCAAGATGGCTTCATTATTTTCGGAGATGTGTATGTATCTAACTAAATATATGTCTAACTCGGCCCTTGGGTCCAATATGCATTGCCAAATCAATACTTGAAATTTTATGATGTGTTCTTGTGGTCATTTAAATAAAACTTTGGTATTAGTATATGATTGAATTGTGCACTTCATGATGATTTCCCAGGGAACTACACAAGTAACGGCTTTCTTAGAGTCACTTGCAATGGCGGCTTGAACCAAATGCGCTCCGAGGTTTGAATTATTATACGTATCAAGAGTTCATTTTTCAATCTCATTATGTTTTCACACTCTAATATTGCTCCTTCTGGTTTTTCAGATTTGTGACATGGTCACAGTTGCTCGTCTTCTAAATCTGACATTGGTTGTTCCCGAACTTGATAAGGCATCATTTTGGGCCGACCCTAGGTACTTTTCACGAACTGAAAGTATTCATATCCATTTCATTTAATGCATTTTTCAAATTAATGAATTACCAACATGCAGCAATTTTGAAGATATATTTGACGTGGGCCATTTCATAAATTCGTTAAGAGATGAAGTCCGAATTGTGAAGAGGTTACCTAAAAAATTTGGCCTGCGGTATGGATATCAACCACTTGTGATGCCACCTATTAGCTGGTCAAATGAGCAATACTACTTGCAACAGGTTAAGTGTGTTGCTTTTTCACTGCTGTCTTTGAAGAATGCCATTAAAGCTTCGCTATGTGGACCCTTCAACCACCCAATCGAACTGCAAATATAAAAGAAGATGTTTTTAATGTAGAAAGGATTCGGAGGGAAGAACTATAGAGAGTAAAGATGTTACACGGCATATGTCAACATTATAAAGGAGAAGGGAAATTAATAGGGTGTTTGACGGAGATATAACCTCTCAAACAACTTTTAAAATTTGTTAGTTAAAATATATCCCAAAGGGCTTATAAGTTGCATAGCAAAATGATAAAGCTGCTTGGAAGCTTATAAATATTAAGCCATTTCTGAGACTTTATGGGGATCCAAATCTAAATTTAGGTTCTTTGATTGAGATTTTGATGTGAATTTTATTCAGTTCAAAATCTACCTTGCAGATTCTACCTCTCTTTGACAAGCACAAGGTGATACACTTCAACCGAACAGATTCACGGGTGGCTAACAATGGGATCCCACTTGAGCTTCAGAGACTCAGATGCCGTGTAAATTTCCAAGCATTAAAGTTTACACCAGAGATCGAGGAACTTGGTAACAAGTTGATTCGCATTATCCGGCAAAAGGGGCCCTATGTAGCATTGCATTTGAGATATGAGATGGATATGTTGGCTTTCTCAGGCTGCACTCACGGCTGCTCTGAAGAGGAAGCTGAGGAGCTTCGGCAGATGAGGTTATTTAATGCTTAAAAAATCTTTCAAAGTAAATGTACAATATCCCACGAGAACAATAAGAGTGTGATTTTGGTATTGCTAGTGATTTATATGACAAAGAAACTAACGTGAAAAGTTAGTACGAATTTAATAATCTTGCATATTTTCGCAGATTGTAGGCTGTATAATTTTGTAATTCATCCTTAGTATTTCTTTTTACCACTAAAGTTGGAAGCATAAATCTCCGATCTATATCCCCCTTCTAAATATAGCAAATTAATGACTGCCCTCCATTTTCCCTGTCTCGTTTCCGTACTTCAATTTCTGGTTTAGATACGCATTTCCTTGGTGGAGAGAGAAAGAGATAATATCTGAAGAGAGGAGGTCTCATGGCTTATGCCCTCTTACCCCTGAAGAAACTGCCTTGATTTTGCAAGCTTTGGGTTTTGAGAAGGATACACAAATATATATTGCATCTGGCGAGATATATGGAAGTGAAAGGAGACTTGCGGCACTAAGAGCCGCCTTTCCTAAGATTGTGAGTCATTCATTTTGTTATATCTTTGATTTATGCATGTCCTCATGGCTATGTATAATGCTTCATCTTTATATATAGGTTTGCACATTAGCTATTTTTTTTTTTTTTTTCTCAGTATTTCATGAAATAAGAGGATTAAAGGAGATGCTATTTTTGTTAAAGATTTTTATTCTAATTGGAAAATTTGGGAAACAAACTGACTTACTTGTGGTTAGCATTTTTAGTTATGTCGAGACCTTTCTGCTGCTCTTAGTTAGGGGTATATGAATAGGAATATCGATTACTTTTGTTACTTTTTTGTTGCAAATTAAATGTATATTCTTATTATGTGTGAAAATGTGAAACAAGAATCTATTAAATGGGACAGGCGATAATTTTATTGAGTTGCCGGTTCTCTAAAACTGTACTTTCACTTGGATTTCAGGTGAAAAAGGAAATGCTGCTGGATCCGAATGAATTGCGCCAGTTTCAGAATCATTCATCTCAAATGGCAGCACTCGATTTTATAGTTTCTGTAGCAAGTGATATATTTATACCCACGTATGATGGGAACATGGCAAGGGTTGTTGAAGGTCATCGTAGGTAACCATGATAATAGATCTTATTACTATTATTATTAATGTTATTGTTGTTGTTATTATTTAGAATCAGAAAAATCGATATAACCGACAATCACTCTTTTCCCCTTATAAATGCTGCAAACTCCCTGTCTAATTCTTGCAGGTATCTCGGTTTCAAAAAGACCATCCAACTTGACCGCAAAAAGCTTGTACAATTATTGGATTTACATGAAAATGGAACTTTCTCATGGGATGAGTTTTCAGCTGCCGTTCGATTTTCTCATGAGAAAAGAATGGGGCAGCCTGCTCCTCGTATGGTTATAGCAAACAAACCCAAAGAAGAAGATTATTTTTATGCCAACCCACACGAATGCCTGTGTGAAGGCTCAAATTGTTCCGACGTATTGGGCCCCATGAATTCGACTTTTGTCCAGCGATAATGGGCCATGAAACGGATTTGTTTGGACATTTTGTATTACGGGCTGACTGTAGGAGTAGAAGAGGAGAGCGTACAAAAGAGTTGCCACTTCAGTAAGCAAAGGCTTGGATTTGGCAGAACAAGCTCTCTGGTATGCGGAATATAGTTTTCACACAAGAATGAGTTTTTGCAAGTAATAATAGTTGAAAATGTAAAAAACGATTACTTGAAAATGTAGTGTTACAGCTCTGGGTTTAAGGATTACTTCCATTCATTCTGTTAATATCATGCAATTTGATTTTCGTTTTCATGATTTTTCGGTGTCCTGTAGTTTGATAATGTAGCTAATTTATACACAAGATGCTCTTTCATTTGTATTATGGAGGAACCTGCAAACTATCAATTTCACTGGAAAGATATATATATATATATATATTTTTTTTTTCATGTGTATCTGAAGTTTAGCTGGCTCCTTCGGTTTGTTATGTTACAGCTAGAAAATTGTGGTTCATTTTGAGAAAAAAAAAAGAAAAGAAAAGAAAATTATCGAGCTTTCGATATGAATTGTTACAGACAGCAAGAACAAATCTAAAATTCTTTACAGATTCTATTTCCTCACACATTCTTCACATACAACTATTATTACACCTCACACAAATGTATTGTTGAGTCAACACATCATAAACTGAAGCAAGATTTATCCGAAAATCCCATCTGAACCAAAATTTGTCGGCTTAAATACTGAAATTTATGATCTTGAGGCAGCGATTATCGTCTCTGCAAATGCCAGCTTCTGCTTGCCTTCCGACACACGCTTTTAACGACCATCAGGTTCGTAAGGAAGTCGGCAAATTCCCGTTATTTCGTTTGCGTGTACTGATTGTTATTTAGGCTCCCAGAAAATGATTTCACCTTGCTCTCCAACCAGGCCAAGGTCCTTGAGCCTTCTTTCTTGGTAATATTCAAGAATATCCAACTCTGATTCCCTCTCTTTGAATATATTATCAATTTGCTGCAATACCCTTTTCTCACCTCTTCTTATCCCAATTGCCACTTGAAGCCTTGGAGTCAGTTTTCCTTCCTCCTTGAGCTTTTCATCCTGAAAACACAATCACAATAATAATAATAATGATAAAAAATACGTCAAGTAACGATGAAAGCCGAGCAAGAGTACCTCTTCAATGGTGGTATGATAACCAGACAGTGCAGATTTGCATGCATCACGAACAACTTTACATACGAGCTCTTCATTCGAACGGCTGATGGGCAATTCAAGATGACCCCAAATCGAGTTTCTGAAAATGGACTCCAATAAAAAAGCATCAGATCCTCCAAGTGCCACCAGCCTCAGATACTGAAGCATGCCCGTCGGGAGTGGTTGCCCATACTTTATGTCGAAATATGCGGTTTGTCCAAAGCTGTTTTGCTCGGCTATATCCAACTTATCCGAGAAAAACTCGTCCGACTCTGACACTTCGAGCGTGAGAGTGAACGCATCACGATCTGATCCTTCTTCTATGAACCCATAGTCGAGAGCCATATCGGCATTGCTTTTCTTCAAATTGTATTGAATATAAATCTGGCCAGAGAGGAAGAATTTAAAGAGATTATCATTAACCTTTTGTATTCTGTTTTTGAAGTATTTGTCAAGAATAATCCTAATGAGAAAAATAAATAAACAAAAAATGAAACATTTAAATGAGGATGGAGAAGAGCCTAGAGGAAATGCACCTGCTCACCAGCCTTGAGAGATAAAGGGCTCTTTACTTGAAACAGAGAGTCCCATGAAAAAAGACCTGCTGCTCCGGTAACCTCACGAGCATGATCTTCAGAGGTTACTTTGGCACTGTGGTTCAACTGAGGCAAACAAAAGGTTTTTATACAGTTTGTTCCATTCATAGATCAATTTAGAAAAATCCATTTAGTTTGATTTACTGATCAACGTACATTCCACGAATTTAGGAAGTAATGTAAACGTCATGGACTGAGTCGCCCTCGAGGTTTAGCTAATTACAAAACCTAGCAATCTTCAAAATGACAAGGATGCTCTTATAAAGTGTTACATATGACCCCATTGAGCTCCGCAAGTTTACCGACTAAGATTAATTATTTTCCGTTCTTCATATTCATGTTAGAACTTGATGACTCTTTAGTAACTAACCTTATATTATGCTAGTGTTTGGTTTTTGCTTACTACAACACGAGCTACTCACTTAACCTTGAATATATAAATTATACCAAGTCGGCAAAGGGGATAACAACAAGATTTTCATTACGAAGACGAGAAAATGCCCTTGATCTGAGAATTGCGAATGCCCACATGAAATCTTCCAATGTTATAGAAAACGGGAATAACTGCTTGTTCGGTAGTATGATTTCCTCTTCCACTTTACGAAACTCATTCTCGACATGCTCTTTCACACCCAATGTGGTCCTCAGTAGTTGAGTTCCTGCCCAAAAGAAAAAAAGAAACTCAAGACAAACAAGAATATCCCCACTGCCTCAACCTATCGGGACGATAGTCGATAAGCATTGTATTTCACGAGGCAATGGGCCGAGAGCAGCTCAAGACAAACACGATCATTAAATCATATAACTATATCCACTCAGTACAACTTAAAATGTTGCTACATTAAGAAAAGAAAAATCCCATCATTCAAACTTTAACCACCAAACAACACGTTTAATCACTATAAAGCACTAACCCTGAATCTCAAGAAGCTCCTCTTCTGACCTGCACTGAAGTAAAACACATAAAAACTACATAATCAAAACAAAAACAACATTAATCAAACACAAACACACACACACACACACACACACACACACACACACGAAAGCAAACAACAAAAGACTGGATTTTTTTTCAGCCAAACCCACCAATATATAGTCGAATCAGTACCCTTGGGAAGAACATCAATATAATATTTCCACTTAGACCCCTCCCCCTTAAACCTCTCATTCAGCAGGAACAGGGCAACAGCAATCCAGTGTTTCAACCCGGAACAAACAATTCCGATATCCGAGGCCTCAGCAGCACTCTTGTTGATCCACAGCCTCTTGGGCACCTCCAACACGACCTCGTTTTTCGCAATGGCCCGAGTCGCCACGAGCCCCAAGCCCTCGGGCACGACCCCCGGCTCGACCGGCGTCTTGGCCGACACTATTCCTTCGTCTTTCAGCCATTGCCAGAATCTATGAACCGTATGAGGGATTTTGGGGTCGGGACTTACTGTTGAGAGGGCCGATTTTGGGATGAATGGCTTTCTCCTGCTGCTGTGAGAAACTGGTTTTGAGGTCAAGAATGAGATAAAGTGTGTTCTTTTCGGGCTACCGAGCATTGGAGGTGAAGGTGAAGGATGGATGTTAAATGCAGATGACATTTTTCCTTTTTGTTTCTGACTACTCAGTTGATCTTAGCTCTGAGTGCAAAGTTGGAAGCAGCAGAGCAGATGAGGTTGTTGAATATTTGGATTTATAGCTTCTAAATGCTTGCGGATAATTTGATATATCTTTTCGGGAAATTTTTTCACATACTACGTGAAATATATATATATTTTTTTTTTTCAATTTTATATTTCTAGAACAATTAATAGGATATATACATAATCAAACTATTTTATTTACGTGATTGCCTAAATAGCAGTTACCTTTTGTAACGTCCTCTATCCATATCATTTATCCTTTGGTGGCGTGATTTACTCATTTAATTCCTTAATTCCCGCAACAAAAATTCTTTAATTCACTCAGCTCTCAGGTGGTATATATTGAGTTTATGTTAGTATATATTTAGTATATGTGCTAGGGGTGAGCGTGGGTCGGTACGATTCGGAGATTGATAAATCTCCAGAACCGTACCAAACTTCGGAGATCACAAAATTCGATCTCCAGAACCATACTAAAAAGTCGGTTCGGTTTGGTTCGGATATTTTTATTTTTCGGTTCGGTTCGGTTCGGTATTCGAGACTATTGGGACGGTTCGATTCGATATGGTTTGGTTCGAATCTTTGGAGATTTTTTATTTTTTTAAATTATTTTTGAATGACTACCTAGTTATATTTTAATTTTTATATGCTTTAAAAAAAACAACATTCATCAATAATTCATCATATTGAAAATTTTATTTTGAAATCAATTCTAGAAGTAACTCTAAATTTAGTTATTTAATTTTTATATGCTTTAATAAAACTAACATTCATCAGTACTTCCTTACATGAAAGATTTTATTTTGAAATCAACTTTATATGTAACTCTATATTTTAGTTATAATTAAATTTGTGCAACTAATATTGAAAATTTAAAATTTAAATAAAAATATAATATTTTTTTCTTAAAAAAATATTCTTTAAACTTTCATATTATTTTAAAAAATTATTTTATAATAGAAAAAATTCAATTGTAGATTGAGTATTACAAAGCATGAAATTTAAGTGAAGGTTAATATTTATTACTATATTATATAGAATCAAAGTCGACATAAAATATATTAATAATACATCTAATGTTATAATTCGGTTCTTAATTCCGGTCATCCGGTTCGGTACAATACGAGACGGTTCGGTTCGGTTCGGTTTGGTTCTCGGTATGGATATTTGTGAAATCTCCAAAATCGTACCAATTATTTTTTCGGTTCGGTTCGGTTCAGAGAAAGTCAAACGGTCAACGGTTATTTTTCGGTTCGGAGTGATTTCGGTTCGGTTTTCAGAACTGTTCGGAATTCTCCGAGTCCCATGCTCAACCCTAATATGTGCGCAACTGGAATTCCTTAATTCACGCGGCTGGTATATATTGCGTTTATGTTAGTATATATTCAGTATATGTTGCAATGAAAAAAATGTCTTCCATAAAAAATTATATGTTCCTCTTTTTTTCTTTTATACATAAAAGTATATATATATAATTGAAAAACATATTATAACAGATTACTTAATATAAAACCATACATATACACAACACCAACAAAAAAATTCTATTTATGCTAATTTTAAATAGATTTTATACATAAAAATTATGTCCCGCGATAAATTTCTTTATCATATACCGAAAATATACTGAATATAAACCATAAATACACACAAAGAAAAAAATCCGTTTATGCTTTGTCAATATAAACCATACATACATATAAGGTAGCCCTTATATTATACATAACATATTCTCTATATATACACAACATATACCGATTAATTCATGGCCCCACCCACAGTCTCCAATTTCCAGTTTTTTTCTTCCATCCGATCTATGGGCCACATGCTGGAGGAGCCTCCATCCCCGGTGGTTGCTGTTGTACCGTGCTTTTTCCACTCAAATCACCAACCTCCACCCGGTTCTCTTCTTCCCATGCATGCTGTCACGCTCGTCTCCTTCATAAACCATAGATAATTCATCCAACTCATTCCCTTCCGGAAACAAAAGGATCCACATCAGTCTCGTCTGAATCAATTTTCAAAATCGTCGATCTTCGCGGTCACGATCTTCTCAGCCGCTGCCCGTCACCACCACCCTACAAAACATGTGTTATTATTTCCTCCAATTTTTTCTCGCGGTCTGAAGCTTTCCAGGACGATTTTTGTCGTCACTTAAATGGATTGCTTGGTGGAATGTCGTGCGAATTGCCTATAGGAAGGGGAACAAATTCGTTCATTAAAGTAAGTTCAATGGCTTATAGAAGCCAATAGTCAGATTGTGTTTCCCCATTGTAGTAAATTTATTAAATACAAAATAATAATTTTCTAGTAAAAATTACGAATAACAAAAAATGGATGCGAACCAAAACAAAAGCTTATGGGATTTTACAGTGGGGAAGAGAATAGTAGAGAGAGAGAGGAATTGCAAGCTGTGAGGAAGATGTCTGTGAATGAGTGTGATCCGTTACAATTAATGTGTGAGGAATATCCCAGTTACATTTTAGGTATAATTGTAATATATTTTACTTAGTTTAGTAATTTTATAAATAAGTTTATAATGGGTGTATAAGTGTAATATAAATTATATATGATAGTAAGGGGTGCAAATACCAATTTACACATAAGCTACGCGATTCAACAAATATTGTAACTCTATAGTCCTAATAAAAATAATTGCATGTTTACCTAAAACATAAGATTTAATTAGATTGTTCTTAATGTCAGTTACCGTAATACTGCAATGTCTTCCCTTAATTTACGCTTGATTACCATATATATATATGGTAATTTAGATATCTTACTAATTGGGTGTTCAATTCAAATAACTGTCGCTTCCTTAGATTGCATAAATCGTGAGATTTTAGAGAAAGACTTCAGTTATCAGGTTTTTGAATATGTAGTATATATTCAGTTTTTTAATAGAAAATATATATTGCGTTTATAGTCGATATATATTAAGTTTATAACCTAATTTTTTTTACATAGTATTTTTGTTTACCACAATTTTGATATTTGAATTTCAACTGTCAATTGTATATATTGTGTTTATATCAATATATAATAAAAAAATTAAGTACGGGCTAGATGAGAAACACACCAACAAAAATATATACTCAACATATACTACATATACTGAAAAAAATCTCTCCCTTTTATTCATTGTCCCTGTAAGCACACCACTGTAAGCACGCCGTCAATGGCCATATCCTCGCGGAGCATCACTACCGACCCATTCATGAACTCGATCAGACTGCCGAGATGGATCAGGGCATTAGCAGGGTGGAGTTCGTCTTCGCCGCCACTCGCATAAAGCCCGACACTCTGAACCTTGTTGTCGGTCGAATCGATGGACTCCGTTGCAAAATCCATATTTATGCTCTGCAAATCGAATCGATTAACTAAAGTAAATTAAATTAATCTATCACATAGATATCATAATATACCTGGGAAGAGATGTGCGGACATATCTGGAAGCAAAGGCCGAGTGAACGTGTTCATCATCGGTACCCTCTAATTTTGTGGTCGTCAGTACCATTTATTGAAAGCAAACTTTAGTTAAGGAGAGAAAATAGAGTCCAATATATCATCATATATGTACAATGCATTTGGGATGTGCGTGAATATAAGATGTGCCACGTGTGCTTGTGAAGGATTGAGAAGCATACACGCAATTGATATATGTACACCTGCAACTAAAAATTAACGTGTCCATATACTTACAAATAAAAAATAAGATTGGTATACGTGCAAATAAAGTTGTGAGGGAGGTAATTTTTTTTTTTTTTTTT